GAAAGAAAATCAAACTTGCTTCTGGTCTTAGGTGGAAGTGGTCAGACAGATGGCATCATCCCATCAAAGGCTGACCACTAAAATTAAGTTCAGTCTGTTTTAATCTTCCTATGTTACAGTCAGCTCATCTGCAGACACCATCATACGTTTAAATTATGACCAGAAGGAGTTCCTATCCCATCTCTCCACTATTCGCCAACAAAGTGCACAGCTGACTGTTGTAATTGAGCTGGAAATGCCATCTTTTCATAATCAAATGTGTCTTTTAGCTGCGGTCTCCTCTGCATGCTGATGGCAACAGACATGTAGGATGTAAGCATGCCAAACACAATTTGAAACCATTGCCAAACCATGTAATCTTCAAAAATATCCTGTACAACCATGTTATTATACAGTGTAAGCCCTGCAACAACTCACTACAGAGACCACTAAAACCTTCATAATGTAAGGTGTGCAGCAACTGGTGATGTTTTCTGTGACTCAAACAGTCAAATGTGCCAATGAGACTGTGTAAAGGGATCTGTGCAATATGAATTATTGTTTCTGTTTCACCACACGTGTTCACCTCTATCAAGGATTTTGCACATAAATGACTAGTGTCACACAATAGTTTCATATTTCTTTTCTGATTCTCACTGAACCAATTAAAACGTTCTCGACTAGAATCCTCCTGCATGCTGAAGCGTTGCACCATCGTGTCACATCTTTGGCGTAGCGAGTCATTCAACATTCCTGATGTGAAAAACTCAAAGGAATGATGACTTGGCCTGAATGTGGATTAAATAAACAAACAAAAAAAAACTTTTTTTTTTTTTTTTTGCAGATGAGTTATCTGAGCCACCAGGTTTTGTGTGATCTCACTTTCACTGTCACTGCACCGACACTGAGAGAATCCTATCTTCTTGGCTCAGGCTAAAGTGATACACTTTAGAGGTGTGGCTGTAGTCACAGGATATCCTATGAAGTCGGGAAATCCCTCTATCAATGGCGCTCCCCACCCTGCTGCACGTCAGGGCTAATCAGCCCTTGAGGCTTGGTAATGAGACGCCTGACTCTACTGTCTGCCAGGCAACGCCAGCCTGAGCCCACACTTACTCTGCTCCTTCTAATGAGAGGTAATCACCCAAAAGCTCCCCACAAACCGCTGCAGAGATGCCAGCACGCACATAAGGCAGGCAAGCCAAAAGACAGGAGGGAACCAGAGGAAATGGTTACATGGAGCCACTTAAAAAAACTGATTGTAACATTTTTTGGTGTGCTTCTGCTGAAAAAGTGAAGCTTCTGTTTGATACAAACCAGGAACTAAATCCCAGCTATGAAGGGAAAAAAATCAATAAATGTGCACTCATCCTATTAGTTATCTTGTTTTTTACAACCTGCCTCAGTTAATGAAGTGCTGAAAACAATAATACCTTTCTAAATAGCAGTAAACCTGCTTTGGCAACAAACTGATGAATTGTATGGTGACAATTAAGCACCAACCACTATATTTGCATCTTCCAGATTTTGGGGTGCCTCTGTAATTGGTATTTCCTTGTCGCATTAATGTGGGCAGCCTTCCTGCATGTGTCGCACATGAACCAAATAAAAAAACCAACCCATGACTTTGTTTGAGCGCACACATTTGGGAGAGTTTGCAAGACCACAGAATTACATGCCTTATACAAACACTCAGATTGTAACCAACACTGAGTTATACCCCTGACACACAAGAAATTGGAATATGTCTAATCAATGTGCCGTAGCTTTTAGCAAAATGGAAAATTTGTGCCGATCATTTGCGATGTTATCTTAACTGATAACGGAGCAGCCACTCCAGCACCTGCTGCAGCAAGCTGCGGGAGCAGAAATAACTGTTCACATTCTTGTGGCAAAGGATGACAATTTATGCGGGCGCTCCACTACGCCAGGAATCCCACCCCACCCTCGGGTAAGCAGACTATGGCAGGAGAGATCATGTTTATGTTATACTTACGCTCCACCGCACTCTGGAAATTGGGTATGCAACATTGACTATTTTCAGTAAATCAGTACCCAGGAGGCCCTGGGAAGCCTCACGCTCATGGATTTAACCTGGAGCATCACGGGCATCAAATTTCTGAGACTCTGGCTTCGAGGCAGTCGCAATATGTATCTGCGTCACCTGAGTGGACTTTTTCAGGATGTTTCAAGTTCCTCACCTGCAGGGCTAAATCTTTCACTGACACTCCATTATTCCCCCTTTCACTGGGCTGCAAGGATAATACATCTGGAGTATTGCAATACCACATGTCTTTCCACACAATCCAGCCACAGATAAAGAACAGACTGACAGAGAGAAGTGAAAACGAGAGGTAACTGGATCGGTAAACACACATTATGGTCATTAAGACTGATGCGAGTGCTAGTTTGGCATGTCGGCTTTAATACGTACCACTTGCCAAGGGTGACACTGCAACAGGAAAGGAGATACAAGCAAAGCAGGAATACATTTGTCTTAGAAGTGAACTCAAACCAAAGACCAAGTTAAAGACAGAGAAAGGACTTGACAAGAGTGTGAGCATTGTTGATGCTTGAGGAACTTAAACCTTTAACAGGGAAGGTACCAAGTTTCTAACTGGTTGTAACTACCGTACCCATCACTGCACTCTGTACTCCTTGGTCAGTTGGTCATCTTTATCTACACATAGACTCTCACACTGGTTCATTTTCATCTATGAATCCCTCCTTTGTCTGCTACCTTCTTATATCTCCTCCCACATGTCACGTCGTCAGTACAGTTACAACATGCGCTCTCAGGCCATCATTACCTGCAGCAGTGCCGGCCCAAGCCTCCATAGGGCCCTAAGCGAAATTTGGTTTGGGGACCTCTATTTCTGCTAATAATGTGGATTACTGCAATCAGCAGTCAGATAATCAGATCATTCACCCACCTAACATAAACTCATTGCAACTCTGCCAACTCTGTTCACATTATCCTATGTGTATATTTCATCTAGTGCAGGGGTGTCATACTCATTTTCATTTTGGGCCACATCTAGCTCATGAATGTCCTCAAAAGGCCGGTAACAATCACACACATATATATGTATATATGTATATATGTATATATGTATATATGTATATATATGCATGTATGTATGTACAAATTATGTATGTATGTATGTATGGATGTATGGATGGATGGATGGATCATTGTAAAAATAAATCACAGCTTTATAATGAAATTGTGTGTAATAGAATCGTTTAGAAATCATTAGTAAATAAATAAAAATAAATTCCACTTAGGGGGCCCCCTAGTGGCCCCGGGGCCCTAAGCAGCCACTTATGCCTTGGGCTGGCCCTGCAGCATTCCCTCAGTGCAGACTGAACTTGGCAAAAGGGCCTTTTCCTACTCAGCTCCTGCAACCTGGAACACCTTGCAACAGGAACTGAACTTATCCTCCTTGATTTCTTTAAGGGGTTTCAAACGTTTGATAATGTCAATAGAAAAATCAAAGCCAATATGCTCTTGTTTTTAGTATTTCACCCTGTTTTATGGCACCCTGATGTATTGTTTCATACACTACTTTTATTTTAACTGCATTTTTACTGTTGTTTATTGTTGTCATTGTCTACTGTTATTGTTGTCTGTACTTTATATGTTCTGTCTGGAACAGGTCCCTCTTGAAAATGAGTCCCCGTTGCTCAGTGATACTAGTGAATGGATTCTGCAGAACATAATTCCAAATTATGAGAACCAACCTTTGTGAGAACAAGTTGGTGCAATTAAACAAACAAAAAATGTTTTAGCTGTTTGAGAAATAAGTTTCAAATATATAATCTGCTTTGACCACCCTATAGTTCTCACGTGCAAGCCTAATAGACCCTTAGGGTGATGTTTCTTGTGTTGTCATGCAGATTCACAGTCAGTCCCAGATCGCCTAACACTCCTGGATCCTGCGCAACACCCATACCTACCATAAATCTGACTGCTGGAAGAGCCTCAGGTGTCATCTCTTGGCAGCTGACAACAATTTGTCTGAGTGTGTTTTGCAAGGCTTGCAGCCAGATGGAGAGCACAAAGCATCACCCATCAACAGAATTTTTTGATGAAGAAAAAAATATTCTTTTTGTGTGTGTGTGTGTGTGTGGGATGCCAGAAACGGCAGGTGAATCGTATTAAGTACCAAACCCTCTCACCTACAGGTGAAACACTACATCTACATGCAGATCTCGCTTGAATGTTTTCTTTGACCGTTCCCACCGATAAACTGAAACAGACTAAGAGAAGCATTAGTAGCCACTCTTAGGTGAAGGTCATATGGGCTCAAATCCAACGCCTTCCCTTGTTTTAAAACACAACTGTGCCCCTTCAAAATTAAACATTACTGACATGATGTATTCAAGTTCAAATTATCAGATTAATTTTCTTGTAAGTATTTTTAAATGTGATGGGGCAGCAGACGGAAACAAAAACCTGCTGTGCAATGTTTATGCTGGACGGGGGAATTTTCTGTGCAAGCAGAGCAGACAGTTCAGCCACCAGCTCAGTCAGTCAGGTTGCTTTATTGTTACCAGCTGTTGGGTCTGAGGCATTTACACTCACCTTTCACTCCGTGCAGCTGCTTTCAGAGTCGACTAAGGATATGATTTTACAAGTGGTTCAGCAAAATAATCACTCTTGCCTCTACCTGCCATTCAAATTACTTTCTGTATAACTTTGTAGAGGGTTCAGATGTTGGGGGGGAAAGGAATGTGATGAAGAATCTCACGGCTCCAGCTTAGTTAGTTGCCTCCCTTATTTTTTTTTTAATTCCCAGCATCTTCATTGACAACCTGCTCCTGCAGACACCAACTGCAAAGTCAAAGTGACACCTCCCTGACCCGCACTTACTAATTAAATCAGACTAAATACTTTCTGCGCAGTAAAAACACATTTAAGGTAAAGTCATTACCTGCTTTATGATTGAAGGACCAATCAAATCAATGAAAGTGGTGCCATAGAGGAGTACCTACAGTGTGTGTGTGTCCGTTCTCACCCAAAGTATGCTGTAGTGGGTCCAGGCACGCTTAGAAGATACACTATAATTGTGAACGATAACCATCCCAGGAGAAGGTGTCCATCCAGCATTTTGCTGCGGCTCCAGGGCAGATCATTTCGTTTCTCCTGAGTAGCTGTGTAAAATCCCTTGTTGTGCGTTCAACACTTCTTATACAGAGAGGAGCTGCGCTGCGCTCCTCCCCTGTCCAGAGAGAGAGCAGAGGAGAGCAGAGGAGAGAGAGCTACATGGTAATACATAGCATGCTGATTCACAATTCCCTCTCAGGTTTCACACAGATTATTCATCTCTGCTTTATGATTGGCATGACAGCCTCTCCTCCCTGGGCATTTTTTAAGCTCCTTTCAGTCAGCGATAGTAGACTGAGGTCAACCTGAGCGGATCTGGACTGGATGATAAAAGTTTTTCACTCAATGACAGATTATTTCCAGAGGGGTAAAACCCTGAAGTGGTGTGAGGTAACACAAGCTGTGAAACGCAGCAATGCTGTGTCCAGATTGAGCCTAACGGACGTATGACGTGGCTCCACGTTTCTGTTTGGATTGTTTTGCATTTTTCACTGTATACCACAAAGATCCAAGCAACTCTAAACACTTGCTTTGGATTTTTGTAACTTCAGTCAATTTCTGAAATATGTCACTTTCTGGGAGGACTCATTTTATTTTCAAACACATTTAAAACTAACATATTTGGCAAAACCTCCTCAGAACATTGATTTTTTTAATTTATTTTTTTATTATTATTATTTTGTTCTTTAATAAAGCTTAAAAAAAAACTGTCCAGATGACCTGACTGAAAATTGTTGGATTGTATACCTGGATTATTGAGCATGGACTTTGTTGGTTTTTCTTTTATAAGGTTTACAATGTGCAGGATTTATACAGTATATAGGCATGCATATGCATTTGTTTGGGTATGTACTATGTATTTTGTCTGTAGTGTGTACTTGCCAAGGTATATTTATTTTAATTGTGCAATTCATTCTGTGATTTGATGGATTTTTAGACTTGTAGATGCCAAAGATTAATTTTTACTGTATGTCCAACAAATGAAAAATAAAGTTTTTTTTTTTTTTATTATATTCTAATCTAATTTGTTTCTCCACAAATGTTTGGTCTGAAGCCTGCCATTCACAAAACTTAAATCTGTTTGTAGGAGGATTGTTCATAACTGCGGAGCCTGACCTCCAAAATGTAGCCACCTATATCCGGTTAACTCAAAATAACTGATAATTCTGACATTTCTTTCCTTCCCTTTTTTCATATATTGGAACAAAACATTCAGCTGAATGTTTCCTTCATGTTGGCAGGTGGCAGCTCCATTTTACTGTGAATGCATTGTGGAAGTTGTATGTCCACAAAACAAATATTTTACCTCTCCTACACAATAGGCTTTATAATTTATACATAAAAGACTAAAAACATGTTTGAAAGTATGTACATTTATAAAAGTAGCAATATTCTGCTAAAAAAAATCTTATAAAGTTAGGAATGGTTGCAAAATAATTTGTTTTTAAGGAACGAAATTAAGTTCAGTGACCAAAAATACACATCATCAGCATTTTATTTGTATAGTTTTAAACTAATGCTGCTTTTTGCATGGAGGTCAATGACTCAAACTGCTTTAGAGCAATCTAAAATATTATGCTGATATCAACTTTCACCTTTATCTTGAAAAAGCCCTTCTGTTTGGAGATTTCAAATGAAGATTGTCTTTATCACAGCTAAAATATCTACACTTTAATTATCTAGATTTGGTTTTGCTAACAATTCCATTCAATTCAGTTTATTTATAAAGCGCCAAATCACAACAAAGTTGTCTCAGGGCACTTTACAGGAACATTCACATGCATAGAAAAGCCATTCAGTAAAGTTCTCTGAATCCAGCAGACTTGTTGAATCTTCACTTCTTCACAGTCTCCCATCCTGAGCAAGCAGAATGGCAACAGTGGAAAGGAAAAACTCAGTTTTAACAGGAATAAACCTCCATCAGAGCCAGGCTCAGGACAAGCGGCCATCTGCTTTGACCATCTGGTTTGACCATCTGGTTTGAGGAGACAGGAAGGAGAGACGAACGACTAAAGGAGTACTTCTTAGCTCATCTATCACCAGGATGAATAAATTGTTTCTCGTGTTTTTGTTACAAGCTAAGAATCCAACAAGTTTACTAACCTAAACTGCAATGACACTTGTTTGTCCTCACCATCAGATCTGAGCCACTGAACCTTTTGTTCATTTGCACTGCTGGCTGGTTCTTCTATCAGAACGGCCACAGAGTCTAAAATCAACCTCCATACTTGGTGAAAAGTCGAGGTGTGAAGACTGATGAAGAGAGTGATGCCAAAATGACTTATTGAGCATCTGTTAGGATCATTGTGAGTTTTAAAAACCTAAATATGTTCTTTGTTTCCCTCCACCTTTCTACGAATATATTGGGATCTGCTCTAAGCACATCTTTTGTTCTGACAACTTTTTTTTGTTTGATCTGGAACACAGATGATGATTTATGAACTGCAGGATGAAATGGCAACTACTCTATACACAATAACTTAAATGTAAAATCACTGCATGCATTAAAACCAGTTTGCTTTTACTCACTGTTCAGTTAGGCAATGAGCTGCTTGGTCAGGTTTAGTCACCATGAATACTCAGCGAGAGTCATGAGAAGAACACGGTCATGGCTAAGCTGCATTCTTGTCCAAGTTCACAGGAGGTTTTGCAGTCTCTTAAGTTTGAGTTATGACAATCAGTTTGCAGAAATGCTTCAAAGACAAATGCTTAAAATGGCAAGGACGATCTACAAGCACTCACAAGCTTTACGTTCATGGGAATGAACAACGAGAAGTTCTTGATCTTCTCACCCATCGTCTGTTTTTTTTTATGTTCCAAATTACTGAACTTCTCTTTCAAAATGTCAAACGAAAGCAAGAAGCCCTTTTAAGCTGTCCCCTTCAAGATAATAGATACAGTTTTCTGTAGAGAAAGATTAGTTAAATAGCCGCAACTAAGCTTGTTATTCTCATAAATATACTTTTGCATGATTTTGCTTGTTCAGCTCACGCGCAATATCCATTTAAAAATCCACACAGGTGAGCACATGAAAGCCCAGGAATGCACTTTTTTCAGCATTATAAGCTTGTCAATCATTTCTAAAGGGCAGTGATTCAAAAAGCCTACAGGCCCCCAGTAAGAGCCCTGCTTCTTAATAACACCTGGTGTTAAAGGAGATCAGCGGGAGGGTTTGTCAGTACATGACAAGAATGGACACTAATCCCAAGCAATACCCACTGGCCCTGCATGTCTCTTGAGTGGGATAATTGATTCCCACACCCTTCTTAAAAACACGCTCACCCCCTCTTTTCAGACACAGCAACCAAGAAAACAGAGCGTGTTTCATTTTGGCGTCGAGGCAGAGAGGACAAAAGTGGGTGCTTTTTTTTTTTTTTTAACTTGGAGCTCCTTATGAGAGCTGAACTCAGGGCTGTGATAAGTGTTGTAGGTGGTAGCAGAAATTTGTTTGGTAATGGACACTAATCTCTTTAGATTTTCGGGGCGGGGGTTCCCCTCTCTGCTGCTACCTACCTTTCAGTTATTCTTTTTTCTGCTTCTCTGACCCCGTTTTAGAAGCTAATCCAACTCAACTAAACATGAAAACCGTTCGTGAGTGGTAACAGGGAAGTTACTTTTGTTTCAGGTGGCAAACGTGATCTGAACATTTGCTTCACTTTCGGCTTGAAGTGTCACATTTTTATATTGAGTTCTTCTGCACACCGAGGTTAATCTGTGCACCAGTGCTTCACACGATAGATCTGAGTGCAGAACCTACATAAGGTTTGAGGTATTCTTTTGGAAAGAGCAACCACCCAAAATCTATTCAAAACATTTCAGTGGTACAGTAGACTATATAGTTTGACAAGTTCAGTATACATGGAATATGTTCTCTGTCCATTTGAATTAGACAAGGATATTCTAGATGGATGATGATAATTCCAAGACAGAGAGCACTTTGATCAAAGTATTTAAACAACGTTAATCTCACACACAATGAGATGTTTTGTTTTATATAAAACATCATTAAGAGTAAAAAGCAAAACAAATGGTCTCCCCCTTGTCTGTATTAGCCTCAAACTGACCTTGTCTTGATATCGCTTCCCTGGTGAGGAATGTAAATCGTATCCGTCCAAACCCAGTTACCACCAAACTCCTCATTCTCACCACCTCGACTCCAATGCAGCACGATATGATCTTTTCCATGTACCAGACATAATTTGTGGCTTAGGTCTGGATGCTAACAGTGCGTCTGTGCCGCTCTGCTGTTTCAGGCGTCGACAGCACCAGCTGCACCCGTTCTCAGGAAAAGAGCAAATTCTGAGGAGAAGATGAGCTTTTATTGTTATTTCTGACATTTTACAACGGCTTTTGAATGCAACTTGCATTATTAGAAGGAGGACACTAGTAATAAAAGCTGTTAAAATAGATCAAATATTAAGAGGCAACAAAAACGAGGTTACCATACACGTCGCCCCGCCGTATTAGTTGCATCAGTCCAAAAATGTCTAAAGTGAGAAAAACATAAATACGTCGCTTCGCCGTATAAGTTGCATCTATTATGCATTGCTTGGAAATGTGGGCAGGTGTGCCAAAAATCGATTGGCTGCAAAAAGGAGGCCGCAGGAGCGTGCACGGGAGGACTTGAACAAGAAATTAACAAGATTAACACTTAAAAACAATTTTTTGTTTGCTCGAAGTTATAGTAAAGGTGTGTCTCAGTTTAACTTTTCCTTAATAAATGCACTTCGACGGTCAAATCAGCTGCATTTCACCTGGGTGTCATGGTGAAATGCAGCTGATTTGACGTTTGCGCCAGGAGTTCATGAAGGTGGCTCGGTATGGCAAGCCAAGTGTCTCATTAATAGCCACTTTTACATATTAATGAGACACTTGGCTTGCCATATTACTCAAGCGCCCCCTAGTGGCTGAAAATGGTAGTGTTCAATATTTTCCATGTCAGAATGAATGAAATCGTCAGATCTAAGCCAAAAATTGAGTTATAAATATGGGGTGGAAAATAAATGAATAAGTCGCTT